ATGGGATTGCAGGATCAAATGGTATTTCAATTTTTAGCCATTTGAGATATCTCCAAATTACTTTCCACAGGGATTGTACTAATTTGCAGTCCCACCAACAGTGTAAGAGTGTTCCAATCTCTCTGCATCCATGCCAGCATTTGTTGTTTTGGGACTTTTTGATAAAGGCCATTCTCCCTGGAGTTACATGATATCTCATTGTGGTTTTGATTTGCATTTCCCTAATGATTAGAGATGTTGAGCACTTTTTTATATGTTTGCTGGCCATTTGTCTTTTTTGGAAAAGTTTTTGTTTATGTCCTTTGCCCATTAATTGATGGGGTTGTTTGATTTTTTTCTTATTAATTTTCTTAATTCTATACAGATTCTCGTTATCAGCCCTTTATCAGATGTGTAGAATGCAAATATTTTCTGCCATTCTATAGGTTATTCTAATGATAGTTTCCTTGGCTGTACAGAAGCTTTTTAATTTGATCAGATCCTTGTTTATTTTTGTTGGTGCTGTGATTGCTTTGGAGGTCTTCTTCATAAATTCTTTGCCTAGGCTGATGTGTGTAAGAGTTTTCCCAACATTTTCTTCTAAAATTCTTAAAGTTTCATGCCTTAGGTTTAAGTCTGCTATCCATTGTGGGTTGATTTTTGTGAGAGGTGAGGGGGGGATCCAGTTTCAATCTTCTGCATGAAGGATCATTCCAAATTGACATGTGGTTATCCAGTTTTCCCAGTACCATTTATTGAATAGAGATTCTTTTCCCCAATGTATATTTTTATCTGCTTTGTTGAAGATTAGTTGACAATATGAGGATGCTTCTATATCTGGGTTCTCAGTCCTGCTTCAAAGGTCTGTATCTCTGTTCTTGTACCAGTGCAATGCTGTTTTGGTTACTGTAGCCTTGTAGTAAAGCTTGAAGTCTGGTAGACTGATGCCTCCCAATTTGTTCTTTTTGCTTAAGATTGCTTTGGCTATATGGGGTCTTCTCTGGTTTCATACAAAGCGTAGAATTATTTTTTCTAGATCTGTAAAAAATGATGGTATCTTGGTAAGGATTGCATTGATTCTGTAGATCATTTTAGGTAGTGTGATTTTAACAATGTTGATGCTGCCAATCCACGAACATGGTAGGGTTTTCCATCTGTTTATATCCTCCTCAATTTCTTTTCTCAGTGTTTCATAGTTCTCCCTATATATGTCTCTCACCTCCAATTCAGGAGTATATTATTATAAATCAAATTATCAACTCTAGGAAATATCCTGATGGCTTTATTTAATTATGTACCCAAATTATATATTATACTTATCACTGTTGCAGTATGTCCCAGGAGGACTTTACCTGGATAACAGTAGTCGTATAATTACTTATGCAAGTCTTGTTTTAATTTTATTTCTCCTTAGGTTCAAATTGCAAATCTAAATATGTTGAACTTATAATTGAAGTATGTAGTTATATCATGTTCAAACATGAAATATGTTTGAAACTTTCTGACATATTTGTATCTAAACATCCTTCCCAATTGCATTCTGTTTAAGAATATAAAGTAATAGAGTTATCAAACATGACACATTAGTTTCCTGATGCTTTTTAAAGATAATTTTAAATAGAGGGGAAAGGTATATCTGCTTCAGGAAAAACAAAATACTTTCATTCAAATAACTTATTCAAGACTCTGATTATAGTAACAGCACAATAATATCACTGTTGAAACATGCAAAATAGAATAATATATGCAGAAATAACATTGTAACTCTCAATTTTCCTTCTTTGTGGAAAAAAAATGACAAAACATTTCCATGTTCCTAACCTGCCAACTTTTAAATCACCAGGCCCATCACTGCACCTGGCCAACAGGGTTGTGGAAGGTTAATTCTGAGGCCTTTGCTAGAAAAGGCTTGTGAAGGAGGGACATGGCAACAGTGAAGTGTCATGATCATTCAAATCTCATGAGGAAATAGGCCATAAAGAAGTGAGATTATTAAATAATTGAAGTTGTAATGGACATTATCAGGAATTCACTTTGTGAATACCTTTAGAAATTAATTAACAATTTCTAGGTGTAGATTGGATTTATTTTGAAGGTTAATTGAGGTACACATGGTATGCAATGAACTGCAAACATGTATAACTTGCAATTTTTGAATTTTTACAAATGCTTATAATCATGCCACAATGATAATTGGATTTTTATTAAAAATGCAGACACCGGTAATAACTAGGTAATAACACATATCTGGGGAAATACTCAAACATACAAAAACACATACATGTTCTCAGATTTATACCACTGGATTCACATGTAGACACACTCCACCCATGCCCACAATCCTACACCACCTAAGGGGAACACAGTTGATTCCAGGGAGGGGGAGAGTAAGACAGGAATTTATGCTGAATGAGTTGGTCAGGTATACATATTCAATTCAACAGGTTGCAGGAGGAGCTATGAATATTGATGAAAGAGACCCATGCACATATGTATTAGATTCACATGCATGTATCATACATCTCAGGATCACTTTGGCGTGGAGATTTAACATTGAAATGCATTATAATTAGGTCCATACATAAAAGCATGAAGTGTACAGTTTGAGTCCATGAACTTCACACCTTCAGGTGACTGGCCAAAACCATTCCACAACCAGCAGTTACTTATTAAGAAACTCTTTGTGGGCCGGGCGCTGTTGCTCATGCCTGTAATCCTAGCACTCTGAGAGGCCGAGGTGGGAGAATCGCTTGAGGTCGGGAGTTTGAGACCAGCCTGAGCAAGAGCGAGACTCCATCTCTACTAAAAATAGAAAGAAATTAGCCGGACAACTAAAAATATATAGAAAAAAATTAGCCAGGCATGCTGGCACATGCCTGTAGTCCCAGCTACTCGGGAGGCTGAGGCAGAAGGATTGTCTGAGCCCAGGCATTTGGGGTTGTTATGAGCTAGGCTGACACCATGGTACTTTAGCATGGGCAACAGAAAGAGACTCTGTCTCAAAAAAAAGTCTTGGTGGTTTGAAATGGTTGTCATGTTGGTCCCATAAAAATGGGGGGAGTGCACCAGGGGTCAGATGATATAAGCAGAGAAGTCTTCCAGACTTTGTTCTCTCACACTGGCCTTGGATAAAGTCTGGTGATGATAGAATTATTTTATTAAGGGGAGGGGTGAATGCAAATGGAACATGCCATGGCCAGCAACTTTAAAATGTAGATGTTTAGTCAAAGTGGGGGTCTGTTAGTCTTTCAAAGGAGTTTAGGACTTTTATTTTAGGCCTCAGTGTCAATATAGGCTCAGTCACTGTAACACATGTACCACATCAGTGAGGGACATGATTAAGAAAGGGAAACCATGGGGGAGGTGTATGAAAAGTTTCTGTACTATCTGTTCAATGTTTATTAACTTTGAAAAATCTGACAACAGTGTTTCAGGAAGAAATTCATTTCAGCTCATGAGTTAAAATGAGCCAAATCTCTTATTAGATTGAGATGTGGTGTCATTTTGTATTAAAAGTGTATAAAACCTTAATTTGTAAATATATCTTCTGGAGTTGTATTACTGGACATTGTTTTAATAATTTTATTTATTTATTTTTTCAGGCAAGCATGAAAATGAGGTTTATTGAGGAGAGAAAGATAGGATTATAGGGCAAGAGCAAGATAATAGGTTTACAGAACATGGTACATATGCCGCAGATGACGACTGTACCCACCGTCACAGTAGGGCAAGCAAAAGGAAAAGAGTGTTTTCATAATTTTAAATTCACACACAGGAAATAAAAATATAGTGTAACATTTTAGAAATTTGTCTTAAATATGGGGTACTGAATAAACTGGAATTCTTTTTTTTTTTTTTGGGGGGGGGGACAGAATCTTGCTCAGTTGCACAGACTAGAGTGCAGTGGCATCATCATAGCTCACTACAGCCTCAAACTCCTGGACTCAAGGGGATCCTCCTGCCTCAGCCTCCCGAGTAGCTGAGACTATAGGTACAGGCCGCCACCACGCCCAGTTAATTTTTCTATTTTGTAGGGACAGGGTCTTGCTCTTGCTCATGCTGGTCTGGAACTCCTGACCTTGAGCGATCCTCCTGCCTTAGCTTCCCAGAGTGCCTGGATTACAGGTTTGAGCCACTGTGGCTGGCCATAGAATTATTATTCTTTCTTTTTTTCTTTAAACTCTCTTACCTTTAATTTACTAACTAGTATTAGTAATGGTCTTTACTTTGTATCACCTCTGAACTCTCTGCTATTTGGCATTGCTGAATACCCTCTCCTTTGGGACATTTATCCTTCCATGGTTCCCACAACTTTGATTTTCTTTATTTTTTGAGACAGGGTCTCACTTTGTTGCCCAGGCTAGAGTGAGTGCCGTGGCGTCAGTCTAGCTCACAGCAACCTCAAACTCCTGAGCTCAAGCAATCCTGCTGCCTCAGCCTCCCGAGTAGCTAGGACTAATCATGCCTGGCTAATTTTTTTTTTCTATATATATTAGTTGGCCAATTAATTTCTTTGTATTTATAGTAGAGATGGGGTCTCACTCTTGCTCAGGCTAGTTTTGAACTCCTGACCTAGAGCAATCCACCCGCCTCGGCCTCCCAGAGTGCTAGGATTATAGGCGTGAGCCACAGTGCCCGGCCAACTTTGATTTTTTGTCCACTTCTGCAATGGCATCTTCAGTATCCTTGCCTGGTTTGTCTTCCTTCCTCCTGTTCCCTATTGTCCACTTTCCTCCAGCAGCCTAGGATCCTAAGCCCTGTTTTATCAACCCTCCCTTGTCCTGGGAGTCCACCCACTTTCAGGTCAGCAGTTTCCTTCTGATCATTCCAAATCAACATGCCCTCCTTTAGTCTACCCTGTAACCTACAGGCACTGACCTGTGTCAGTTGCCCACTGTGTCTACTTCAGCATGGTCTAACCCAGAGGCTACTTCCATTACTGAAACACCCATTTCTCTAGGCCAGAAACTTTGACTCACTCTCTCCTTCAGCCATATGGCCAGTTAGTCACTGAGTACGACTAATTTGTCAAAGATTTCTCTGTTTTTTCTCTAGATAACCTTATCACTTCCAACCTAAATTATTGCTGTAATAATACTAGCAACAACTCCATTGTGTCAGCTGTTACATGCTAAGCACCGTTCTAATTGCTTCACATGAATTATCTCATTACACAAGGGAGAAAGCAAGGCAAAAAGATTAATTTATTTGACTGAGGTTATATAGTGAAAGGAGCCAGGATTTGAATACAGCCACCTGACAAAGCCATTTCAGTTCTGTGCCAGATCAAATTGCTTCTCACAGAATCTCTCATCCAAGAAATGCTGCATACTACATCCACTTTGTTTTTCTAAAATAGTGGTTTAAATGTGGCAATATGTATCAGCAGCCTTAATTATCTGTACTTGTTGGCTTGAATTTTGAGTCAAAATTTCTGAAAATTTATCTTAAGGAAAAATAATTAACAACATATGGAAAGATTTGTATACAGGGATCTTCATTGCAACATGAATCATAACAGCTCAAAATTAGAAACTTTTTTTAATGTGGTTTTTTTTTCTTCAAGATTTTACAGGGGTACAAACACTTAGTTTACACATATTGCATTTGCACTGCTGGAGTTGGAGCTACAAGCATGCCCATCCCAGACAGTGCACACTTCACCCATTAGGTGTACATTTAGCCATCCCTTCCTCCCCCCAACCTGCCTGACACCTGATGAATTTTAAAGAAATCACAAAATCTAGAATTATTCTTGAATGAACTTAATAATTTAAATAGTACCTTCATTTGGTTTGTTTCCAGGGTGTACTCTTGTTCTGTGGCCACTTTGGATTTTTTTGGCCCACTTCCTGGAGCCAACAGATTTTCTTGTCCCTAGAAGAGAAAAAGTCTTATATCCTAGAGGTGAGATCCTGGGAAATGTATTACAAAAAAAGACAGCTGTGGACATCTTGCTGGCAGAAGACCATAGAGAAATTAGAATAATTTATTCACAGATTGAACTTTTGATCCCATTTTTAAACATCTGCTTAGCAAAGTCACCTCAACCAGAGTTGGGTTTTAGGATGATCTTGCAGTGTGGGTTGCACTGAAAACCCAACAGAATAATTGTGTAGGCAAATCCCTTTCCTTAGACCCGACAATGTAGAAAAGCAGCAGGGCAGAGTGACCAAGACACAGGGGCTGGTACCTAATGGCCTGGGTTCGAATTCTCTTTACAATCTGCGTGCACCTGGGAAAGTTATAGAGACCCCTCTGTTCCTCACTTCCCTGCTCTGAGATGTGGACATGTTAAGGCATCTAAAAATGATTAGATGCATGTAAAGCCTTAAGAAGACCGGTGCTCCATGAGCGCCCTACAATACTCGATCATCAAATGTGTGAAAGAATAAGCCAGACACTTGGTGGCGGTTGGACACAGAGAGGGAGCTTGGAGGGCTTCAGGGCAGGGCAGGCTGGAAGTTTCCTTCACCCTTTCCATGGCTGTGATGCTTTCCAGCTCATGGAGACCATCTGTGGTTTTCTGCGACACCCAACATCAGCCCTGAGAGATAAGAAGAGCAGGGGCTACAACCCATAACTTACAGTTTAGGAAAGCGAAATTTAGAGACATTTTAAGTGACTTTCCAGAGCCACAGCACTGATGAGTGGCGGATCTGGGACAAGAGTGTAGTTGGTTTTTGGGACACAGATCTCTGAACACCTGAGGCCTCTACACCACGCCCTGGAGTCAGAAGCGAGAGCTGTTCCCACGCGCTTTCTCACGTCCTGCCTCAAGGTTCCTGCAGAGAGGCTGATGCCCTGGAAGAGCTGGCTGAGTCGAGAGAAGGGCTCAGATCATAACTCAGCCTCTTCCCTCTAGGATTCTATCCCTGACCTAAAATGCGACAGTTTCCTGCAAACAAAGCCTGTCTGAAAGGCACGCCCCAGTGTGTGGCCTCCTCCCCCAGCATCTTCATCTGTCAGCTGCCTTGGCGTGAGCCTTGCCATCGCCAGTTGGCCACTGCCGTGACCAGTGGTCACCTTGGCTCCCAAGATGGCTCAGAATCCTGGATGTTCCAAACCAACTGCCACATGGCGGCTATGCCAGGAACTAACTTCGCTTCAGCTGATCGAGCCTGGATGAGCAGTCCAACGGAATTAACTGGGAGTGTGGCCATCTGGGCGGGTGCCTCAGTGGTTTGACGAATGAAGTCTGTGACCCCCACTGTCTTGCTGACCTCTTACGGGAGCAACTGCCTGAGCAGCTTGGTTGGGAAGGAGCAGTAGCTGCACCAGCACAGAGCGTCACCTTCCCGCTCACACCTTTCCCCACCGAACAAATTCTTTACAAACTCCCCATCCCTCTCTCCATCTTATAGGGGTAGGGGCAGCATCCCATCTCCTCTTAGAGGGACCTGGCCATGGATACGAACTGGAGAACCCCACCCCAGGACCCTCCCCCTTCCATTTTTACCAAATGTCCTTTCCATGAACCCCTTGGCACTGTCCCTTCTCACAGCCAATGACTCTGTTCTCATCAACCCCATCATTATCCCACCATGAAATTTTAGTTTCTTTCCTTTGGAAAATCTCTGGTTTTGACTGTACTAGAATTTGGTTTTGGATTTTGACATCTACATTCAGAAAAGTGTGGCTTTAATTCTCCTTCCCTGTAGTATCTCTTGCTGTATTTGGTGTCAGGATTCTCCAAATCTGATGAAGGTGGTGTGGATGTGTTCTCTCGTATCTGTTCTCTGGAAGACTGTGTACAAAATTGGCATTAGGAAATAGTACAATTTCCTAAATTTAGGAAACTTTAGGGCAATCAACTGGATAGGAGAATCAGCAATATAAATTTAGAAATAAAACAAAACTATAAAACACATTTGTAGATCTGTAGACAAAGTAGAGTAAGGGAAGTGAAAATAAATAACAGGCCCGTTGAAGAAGTGACAATCGGAAGGTCATTGTGAGCACACCTGCCCAGCAGGAATTCATGCTACCCATGTTGAAGAACTCTGGATGAATGAACAAAGGGGAGAACGGCAGGGCTGCTGTGAAGTATGAACCTCTTAGCTCAGAGTGACAGTTGAAATGTTGGGACGATACACATCACCACATTACCATGGTGACGGGCCATCATAGAACTTTCAGAGTGGACACAGGCCACTCAGTGGGGTCCAACTGCTGCTATCTAACAAGTGTATTTTCACATGTGTCAAAAGCATTTTTTTTAAATCAAAACTCAATCTCAGACTCACATTATTATTCTCTGTTGATGAAAACAAGTGGGCAAAAGTGACCAGCACCCCAAATATAGTTGAGAGTGAAAATTTCAGGATGAAAAGGGACAAAGCTAACATTGAGAATAAAAATAAATCCCATTCTCGATTTAACATACCATCCTCATTCATTTATAGTGTTTTTGACTCACCAGACATTTCTTGATCTAATATTGATAATTTAAAAATTTTTCCAGTAAATACAAAATCATTTTAGGGAGGGGGGAGGGGGGATGGGTATATACGCACCTAATGGGTGCAGTGTGCACTCTCTGGGGGATGGACACACTTGAAGCTCTGACTCGGATGGGGCAAAGGCAATATACATAGCATAAATGTACCCTCATAATATGCTGAAATAAAAAAAATAAAACCCCCACATTTTAACAATTCACTGTGCCTTTTTTTTTTTTTTTTTTTGAGACAGTCTCACTTTGTTCCCAGGCTAGAGTGAGTGCCGTGGCGTCAGCCTCGCTCACACAGCAACCTCAACTGCTGGGCTCAAGCAATCCTGCTGCCTCAGCCTCCTGAGTAGCTGGACTACAGGCATGCGCCACCATGCCCGGCTAATTTTTTCTATATATATTTAGTTGGCCAACTAATTTCTTTCTATTTTATAGTGATGAGGTTCTTGGCTCTTTGCTCAGGCTGGTTTTGAACTCCTGATCTCGAGGAATCCTCCCACCTCGGCCTCCCAGAGTGCTAGGATTACAGGTGTGAGCCACTGCACCCGGCCCACTGTGCCTCTCTAAGACACATTAATTGTCAGTGATATAAATTCTTCCCTTATCACCTATGTATATTTCCTTTGCATGCAACTAAGTCTATGTACCTAGTTAACAAGCTCTGTGAGTTCATGAGCAATTTCTTCCTCATTGTATACAGCCAAGACTGGCTAACCACTGTGTAGTGTTTTTTTTAAAAGGATTGTTATATGTTCACCATTTGGTTGGTAGAAAATGTATAAAATAATATTCTAAATGGAAGAGTTTTCAATGACTTCAAACTCTAGGATTAAACATATGTTCAGCTCATAGTCAACAATCACATGCTTTTTTATGATTTGGTCATGAATATCAGGCATAGGAAGGGAATGGAAAAGCCCCCAAACCAAGGAACAAGTGAGATTATTAGGAATATAAATGAGAGAGTTGCCTCATTTGAAACAAAGCAGGTGCCTTCAAGATATGAGATATCATCAGTGCAAACACTTCCCACATGCTGGTCCTCCCCAGATTCTAGAGCTAATAAATAAGTCATTGATAATGGCATAAAAACTGCATTAAATAGAGTGTTGCCAGATTTTTCTCTAGGGATGTCCAGCCAGGATGGTTGAGAGGGTGTGGAAGGAACAGGTTCTGTTACATTGTTCTAAACGGACTACTTTTAATGTTCCCCAGCTGTATAGAAAAGTGTGTGTGTATGTGTGAGTGTTTTTATTTATTTATTTATAGACAGGAGTCTCACTCTGTTGCCGTGCTAGAGTGCCGTGGCGTCAGCTTAGCTCACAGCAACCTCAAACTCCCTGGGCTCAAGCAATCCTCCTGCCTCAGCCCTCCCAAGTACGCTGGGACTACAGGCATGCAGCCACCATGCCAGCTATTTTTTCTATATATTTTTAGCAGGCCAATTCATTTCTTTCTATTTTTTTAGTAGAGACAGGGTCTCGCTCAGGCTGCTTTCAAACTCCTGACCTTGAGCAATCCGTCTGCCTCGGCCTCCCAGAGTGCTAGGATTACAGGCGTGAGCCACTTCGCCCGGCCTGTGTGAGTGTTTTATATACATGCACACACATCACACGGTATACATAGTGTAGATACGATAGGATATATATAATATACTATGTAATACTACCTGAGACATGAAGAGCATCTGGAATGCCCAAACTGAGGGAGAAAATGAAAAAGAATTAGGGAACATATGAATAAATGTGAAACCACCTGATTAGAGTAACAACACGTGAGAGGCAAAAACCAAGAGCAGTTCAGACTCCCATTTGTAGACAGGTGGTAGATTGAACAAAGGACTTTCCTGAGTGTCCACAATAGATGAACAATAAATGAGTAAATGCAGGCAAAGCCTAATAGAAAGCTTTGTGGCATTGCCAGCACTATATGATTGCTCATTTAATAAATCTGGAAGGAGGTGCAGACACTTTCACAGTTGTTACTTCCAGAGGCAGAACCCGGTAGGCTGCAGAAGAGGGAAGGGAGGAAGCTCAGATTTAATGCACATCCCTTCGTATCTGTCGAATTTCCTTCAAGTGTGTTATTCTTGTGCTCTCACTATGAAATTTTCTGTAAAAAATTAACCCCCTTAAAATAGTGGTATCAAACAACCATTTCATTTTGCTCATGGTTCTCAGGGATAGGGATTCAGACAACGGGCAGGGAGGAGGCTCTTTCCTGCTTGCCGATGTGTCTGGGAGCTGCAGAGAAGCCTTGCTGGCTGCGGTTGCATCTACAGCAAGGAGTTCGACTCACCTGGAGGTGACTTCACTCACAGGTCTGCACTGGAATTTGGGTTTGGCTGGGGGACCTAGAGGTGGTCTCCCCATGTGGCCTGGGCTTCAGGCCCAGGGCACTCAGAGCTCTGATTTGGTGGCCAAAGGCTTCACAGGTGAGTGACCTGAGTGAGCCAGGCGGAGGTCCTTGGCCTTTTCAAACATAAGGAAACACACAGTGTCACTTTCTGCCTGGGTTGAAATGCTGGCTTGGACATTTCCTAGTGAGCAATCTAACTTTCCTGTGACTCACTTTCCTCATCTGTAAAATGGGGATATAATAGCACCTACTTTCTGGGGATTTTATGAAGACTAAGGTAGCCAGCGGATGTGAATGACTGAAAACAAGATCTGGCACATAGCGGGCACTCAGGGCAGGCTACCTGTCATCATCAACACTCTTTTACAGATGGGGACACTGAGGCTCAAAGAGGTGGCATCCTTGATTAATTTCACTCCACTAAGTCATGGTGGAGCCAGGCCAGTGGGGAGCCCTGGTCTGACAGAGTCTAATTAAGACCCTTGCACTTCTGGAAGTTCCTGGACTATCTGTCCGGTCTATCTGACTCTGTGGGCAGAGTTTCTTCCTCAAGGTCAAATGTAAACTTGCTCTTTAAGTCCAAGCTCCACAATGGATTGCAGACTGATTCCTGAGAAATCACATCCAGCCCTCCAAAGCCATGTAAAGACTCTGCTCCATGCAGGCTCAAAGAGTTATGGTGGTACAAAAAAAGAATAAAAGAAAATAATATGAAGAAAAAAAAGGAAAAATTTAATAAAAAAAATAAGACTCATCTCCAGCATTTGTCACATTATGTGGCTTTTCTCATTATCTTCTCAACTAATAAAAACAGCCCCCTCCATGGTACACCATGGAGTACTACTCAGCCATAAAAAGATAATTAAACCTTTCGCAACCATGTGGATGGAACTGGAGACCATTCTCCTAGGTGACGTATCTTGAGAATGGAAAAACAAACACCACATGTATTCACTATTAATTTGGAACTAACCGATGAGCACACACGTGCACAGAGGGAAGTAAAACTCAGTGGAAAGAAACCAGGGGGGAGGGGGGAAAAGAGGAGGGGAAGTAGCTCACACCCTTTTTATTCAATCACATCTCTACACAGCTGTCCATACCTTAAACATAAAAATGGACAATTTCCCCTGCATCTGTGAGTGTTCATCCTGAAGGCGTCCATGTATAAGTTTTAAATTTTTTGTCCCATTAATCTTCATGTCAGTAAATTTTTGGTAACTCTCCATGGGAACAGTGGCCTATGGCTACCATGGGTATAGGTGTACCCATGTGCTATGAACACTATTTGGGTGACGGGCGCACCTATAGCCAGGACTCAGCATCACAAAAATGATTCATGTAACCTAAAACATTGTGCCCCCTTAATATTCTGCAAATTAAAAAACAAAAACCCAGCTCCCATATGTCATGGGTCTCCAGTGTGCTGACTCTCCATCTGCACGCATTTCCGCATTTAATCTACACAGTGAGCCCACAAGGAACATCGATTGGACTATTCTGTAAATCAAGAAACTGAGGCTCAGAGCACTGAGGTCCTTTATCCTCTTACATTTCTTGGGGGTCAGGAGTTTGGGGTCCGCTCACCTGCCCGGGCCTGGCTCGGGGCGACGGGCGAGGGTGCCGTCCGAGGCGGGCGTGACTGCGTCTCCACTCCCACCTCCGAGGCGGCTCACACGCGGCCGACGCGCTGGCGCTGGCGCTGGCTGCCGACGGGAGTCCTCGGTGCCTCATCAGATGGGGTCTCTGCAGGCTGAGTGGCCCCGTGAGGTGGGGGCCGGCTTCTCCCAGACCGAGAGACTCAGGAGACCAAGGGACAAGCTGCAGCCTTGAGCTCACACACCGGCACTTCTGCAATATTCTGTTGTCCACTCAGGCCAGCTCTCATTCACTGGCAAGGTGACTACCTGCGGCAGCAGTAGGTGCAGGTGTGGATCGCTGGGGGTCGGTCATCTGAGGGACAGGCTGCCACTTCTGAGACACTTGCTGTGTTCAGGGACCAGGCCAGGCTCTGGCCACTAGCATCTCTCATGGAGTCGCTGGAGCCCATCCTCACTGGTCTCCTCTGAAAAACACTTTCTACCCAGAACCCTCGGAGATCTCCAGCACAGCGCTGCCCGTGGCACGCTTTGCAATGATGGGGATGTTTCCTCTCTGTGCTGTGCCATAGGGTGGCCACAGGCAGCCACTGGGCACTCGAAACATGGCACATCCTGCTGAGGAACTGAATTTTTAATTTAGTTTCATTTAAATTTATTTAAATTAACCTACAAGGCCCAACATGGTCTGTGCCCCACCCACTACCCTGCCTGGCCCTCTACTTAGTACACTGGCTGCTTACAGTTTGCCAAGGCCAGAACACTGCCTCCACCTCCGGGCCTTTGCACAGCTCTTCCCTCTGCCTGGATCACCCCCCCAACTCCCAAATCCTGGGTCCCTCTTGGACTTCTGTGAGGGGGTCTCCTCCACTCTGTTTGGACACCTTGGGTTGTGGCACTGGGCTGTGACAATGACCCAATGTTCACATCACTGCCCCACCCACCAGGGATGTCCCCAAGGATAATGCAGAAAGGTGGGCTCCGGGAGCGGGTGGTGACCAACATAAAGAGGGAAGGCCCTGCCATTCCCTCTGAGAATCCAGCCTTTTTAGGGTAAAGGAAATTCTCGAAGGAGGCAGCATTTTTAGTGGAAAGAACATGGAGCCTTGAAGTCAGACAGGCCTGGCGGGGAGGCCCCATTTCTGCACGTCTCATCCACTCCTGACCTCAGTTCTCACAGCAATCACATGGGAATAACTCCCAGAGCGGGTTAGATATGATCGTGACAGTTGCGACGATCCTCACAGCTCTACGGCTGTAGTTTGGAGAGTGGAAGGGTGGTTTGTGTGGACCAGACAGCGACCACACACCCAGAGCCCTCCTCCCATGGAAACGAAGTCCTTGAGATTGAGGGCTGGGAGATCAGAGTCCACCTACTCACAGAAAGATGTCCACAGCTGCCTGTATTGTATTAGGTTTCTCAGGATCTTATTCCCAGAATATAAAAATACTTCCTCAGGGGAAAAGTAAACCTACTGCTAGCCCCATGCATGGGTCAGAAAGATTCACAGCTGGCCACACAAGAGAGCACACCCTGCATGTGAGTTAAGTGAAGGTGCTGTGAAAATCCAACTATCAGTTCATTCAAGTATAATGATTCTGTGTATTTAAGACAAAATTTTAAAAAAGCTATACCATGTTCTTCAGTTCTTTCATGTGGGTGAATTTATTTTATTTATTATTATTTTTTTAATTTATTTTTTTGAGACAGAGTCTCGATTTGTTGCCCAGGCTAGAGTGAGTGCTGTGGCGTCAGCCTAGCTCACAGCAACCTCAAACTCCTGGGCTCAAGCGATCCTCCTGCCTCAGCCTCCCGAGTAGCTGGGACTACAGGCATGCACCACCATGCCCGGCTAATTTTTTTCTATATATATATTAGTTGGCCAATTAATTTCTTTCTATTTATAGTAGAGACGGGGTCTGGCTCTTGCTCAGGCTGGTTTCGAACTTCTGACCCCCAGCAATCTGCCCTCCCCGGCCTCCCAGAGTGCTAGGATTACAGGCATGAGCCACCGAGCCCGGCCCTTAGCATGACTTTCATTATAACTTTTTAATCATTTCCTATAGCTCTTTGGATGAGGATGAATTTCTTCATCATTCCAAACCTGCCCTATATGAACTTTCTTCTGTAAGTTTATCAGCAACATCTTCCATAACTTGCCAATAATTCTAGATAATTTACCTTGGCTTATTATGTGTACTACAACATCATGCTATTTTTTGTCTCAAGGCTTGCCTTCCACAGGACATTTTGTGGAATTCTCCTCTGGGTAAATCCATGTTTCTTTTCTTTGCTTTTTTATCCAAAGCCCATCGAAGTACTTAGTACTTAGAACTTAGTATAAACACATTATTTCTTGCATGAAATAATGATTAAATGAAAAAATATATTCTATTATCCGGCACATTTTATTTGCTTTCTCCTAAATCTTAGATTACTAAACCCTGGAATAATGGGCAAGTAATTTCTTTTATAGCTACCTTTGTAGTTCTTATTATAGTTAATCAACAATTGTTTACTGAGCTCTAATTACATTTAAATGATTTCATTAATAGCTGAAGATATCTAAGCAATACCTGATTTTCATAAGTAAGATTTTGATTAAAAAATTAAGAAAAATAAAAGACAGGCAGAGGAGAAAGAATAGTTTAAGATAAGACCTAAAGCCAAAAATGAGCAAATATGTATAAAGGCAGCAAAGAGACTAGATCGGGGTGGGGAACTTGTGGCCTTAAAGCCAGATGTGGCTTTCTTGGTCCTTCGGTGCAGCCTTTTGACTGAATTCAAATTTTACAGAAGAAATCCTTTTATTCTTATTAATAATAAATTTTTGTTCACCTTTTCTATTTTTATTTTACTTTGGAAATGAATATATTCAAAGTGCCAAAGAATAAAATAACTTTCAATGAAGTAATCTTCCCAGACTGACTGGCACAATTAGAACATTAGTAAGCCATAAGGGCTAACTTGACAGCTGCTATGCTCATGATTTAGTTCTAATTTCCCCTCCCTGACTGGTGCCACTACCACAGGAGGCTGGTTGTCAAGAGTTTATGGGTTTTAATGAGGATTGGGAATTGCAATATTATCTTGTTTCTGCTAAAGATAAGATGATTTGCTTGTTTTGTGTTACTGTGATATCAGCATTAAAGAAATTCAGTGTTCATCAGCATTATTAGACTCATAAGTACCACAAATATCTTAAATCAGAGGGGGAGGCCATGAAAGGTTATATTGCAGAAATTAAAAGATGAAAAGCAAATGCAAAGACAATTCTTTCAAGCAGCAATAAGACCTGCAAATAATGCCACTGAAGCAACTTATAAAATAGCTTATATAGCTGGGGAAAAAGGGAAGCCATTGAGTGATGTAGAAATTGTGAAAGAATGCATTGTTGAAGTTGTAGGATGCTTAGACTCTGATAACATTTCATGGTACAAAGAACTGCTTCTTTCAAGGAGAACCATAATTGATCAGCGGCATGAATCAGCCTTCAGCTTAACAGAACAAATTTATGCAAAATTTGTTCAAAATTTGCTCAAAAAGAAAATATGTGTGTTTCAGTTACTTTGGATGAATCAACTGATACTACTGACTTGGCACAGGTTTTATAGTTAATTTGGGTCATAACAGAAGATTTTCTTTGGTATGAAGAGTTACTCACTTTGGGAACTCTTGTGAACAGAACACGGGGAATACATATCTTCAACAACTTTCAAGATAAATGTCATGAATTTGGACTTAATTTAGTAAATTTAGCGAGTGCATGTACAGACAGTGCACCTTCCATGACAGGAAAACATGAAGAATTAAAATATTGCACAGATTAAAATAAAGTATTAACAGATCCAGATGCTCTCTTTTCATTGTTTCTTGCATAAGCAAAATTTCTGTGCTAAAGCTTGTATTTTAAGTGGCACTTTGCAACAAGTTATAAGTATTGTTAACTGTATTTGTGCAAATGCAGCATGGTATTGTCAGTTTCATAACATGGTATTGTCAGTGTCATAACACGCTAAAGTTGAACAATGAGGTTATGGATTTGCCCTATCCTTCTGAAGTTTGTTGACTATTGCAGGGACAATGTTAGCCAAAATTTTAACTCTGTGAGAACAGATAGCTACATTTTATGAAGAGCAGAATTGGCAATGTGAATTATTGAAAGATGATTTCTATAGAAATACAGCATTTCTGTATGATGTCATGTCAAATCAAAATAATTTGAATATTTCTTTGCATGGTAAAACTAAGTCTATATATGGTATGTGGCAAAAAATTCAAGCATTTCAAAAAAAGCTATCTTTTTTCAAAATACTCTTCAAAAGGGAATTTCATATGGACATTTTCGCCAGTTATCAAATGTCATTGATGAAGCATATGATATATGCGAATCATTTGAAGAACATGCACCTGTTATAGACCTATTATTTGGAGAACACAATGAAAGCTTCACTGACTTTGAGAATCACACTCAAATTAGCATTTCAGCCTCACCTAGTTGGTATCACCAAGGCACCTAAAGAACTACAGACGGAATTGATGAAGCTCTCAGTAGATGACATTTTAAAGTCATTGTTTGATGCTAAGAAAGATCCAATTGAAATACAGAAAAATGTAGAATACCCATGCCTTTGGCAACATGCTGAAAATTTACATTTTCCTACCTAACCCAAATTAAGATGTCTTTAAGGTCATAAATTACTGATACTCATCCAGAGGATCAACTGAAACTGCAGACCTCTATCCTGCAACCAAACATTCAAATATTTTCCAATGGAAAGCAGACACAACAAAGTCATTAAAAGTTTAGTTAACTATAAAATTAACAAATAGTTTTCATTTTTTGAAATTATTAATTACATAGTATTAGATTTTTACAAAATAATGTATATTTTTAAGTATATCTAATTGCAGTTTCTTGATGCCGCCTTATTTGATTACAGCTTAATTAATGTGGCCTTTCAACATGAAAAGTTTCCCCACTCTTGGACTAGACAGTCTGCTTAGAACACAAAGTTTGGGTGGATACTATGAAGCTATAATTTTCAAAATGGTTAGTTGGGCTAATCTAGATGAAATAGTTTCTGATAATCAAGCTCCATAAATTCTGAATACACTTTCTCCTAATATTTTTAACATCTAGTTCCATCCAGCTATGTATTAAGATCTATTTATCTATATCAAAGGAACAATATCTATAGAGGTTGATATATACTGCTAAGGGTTGTCTCTGAATAAGGACCTAATGGATCTCTCAGGAGTGGTGGAGTATCATCTTAAGCCACTATCAGTTGTAGTGGATATTAATATCAGAGAAATCAGAAAAATTTAAAGATCACAGAGGAGAATATGTGATCTTCCCTAGATCATTTTGGGAGAAGGAAGAAATTTTCACTCTAGAAATTTTGTGAAGGGGTCTAAAAGCTGAAATTTTTTTTTAAAAAATCATTTTGTTATTATAGTCATCTATAGGCTGACAATTAAGCTTGAGTTACAAGTTATAATTAAGCATGACTTTGCTGCTAGGCTTATGTTCAAAGACCACATAAAATCCTTAGCACAATGCAACCCTGTAAAAATTTGTTCAAAATGTTATTTCTTCTGTACTAGTAAACATAATTTTATAAAGTAGGATTTCTGATTTCTGTAAAGACTGAAACTATTGGACTGTGAATAAGTAATGATCAAGAGGAAGCATCTGGGATGCTTAAGAGAGGGAAATGCTCAAATTCAGAAAGGCAAATATTTAATTTACATACTGACTGTTTGTTTTAAAAAGGACATCCCTCTAGATTTAAAAATTTTGTTAG